CCACACATTTCATATGAAAGACATGACCACAGCCAACAAGGTTTCTACACCACTGCCCTTGCTTTATATCTTCAAGACAAACCACACATGAACTTTGATCAGCAGCCGTTTCAGGTGTCGTGTTAGTCGAGAATCTGAATCTTGGGAGCTTCTTTAAGTCTTTGAGAGGCAGCCCCATTGGGGGATTGGAGGATGGAGTCGAGTGGCGGTGGAGTGCGGCGGTGGGAATGAGGAGGAGGATGGCGGCAACACCAAGGAGGAGGAAAAAAAGGATGGTTATTGCGATCATTACTATGGCTTTCAGGACAAGAAAAATAAACTTCCGGTTTGGTTTTGGTGGTGCACCACCGTGGTGATGAGGAGGAGGAGACATGGTTACAGATGGAAGTTAATGAACGAAAAGGAAATGGCCAGACTGAAAAGGTTTTTGGTGTGACTCCAAAAATAGGGTCCAATTTATATAGAATATGAGAGAAGAGGAAAGAGGAGTGCGGTTTTTATCATTCCACTTTCTTCTTTCCGTGGGCAGTAAAGGGCGGCTGCAGTTAGAATGTCGATGTGGTGTCGCCATGTGTTCGCATGCTGGCTTACGCGGAGGATCTGTCACCGTTCTCACGCAAAACCTACGGCACTGTTTGTTTATGCGTTCTCACGCAAAACCTACGGCACTGTTTATGTGTTTTAAAAGCATTTTTAAAAAGATTTATTTTTTTTAAATTTTTTACTAATTTTAAATTAATATATTTTTAATATTTTTAAATCATTTTAAGGTGTTAATACTAAAAATAATTTTTAAAAAATAAAAAATATTATTAATATATATTTTAATATGAAAAGCTAATATCTAGATTTCCAAACAAGCTCCATGTGTATTTTCTTCTGCATTAGATGAGATGGACCTAGCTAGGTAGGTAGGTAGGTAGGTAGGAGGTAGGCTCCATTAAAACAGTCCTTGTCATAAGAAAAAACAAAATGACAAGAAAACGCGAAGTTATTGTATCCGTAGATCCACAGAATTGTAACTAGGGGGACAAAAACTGAAAAATTAATTAAATTTAATATTTTAAAAAATTAATTATAAAATTAAATTATAAAAAAATTAATTAAAATTATAAAAAAATAATTAGTTCAATTCAATTTTAAAAGTCTAAAATAAAAAACCGAACCAAATTCCAACCAAAAAAATAAAAAAATCAAGTCAAATAAAAAAAAATCAAACTAAATAAAAAATAAGAATCAAATAAAATAATTGAGTGAAACTGATTTAAAATAGTTTTTGTTTTAAAGACCAAACTAAACAATAAATAAGTTTTTATTTTATTAAAAAAATTTAATTTAATTATTTTTTAATAAAAATAGAATTAAATTAAAAATAATAAGTCATAATTATCTTGAATTATCTTTGTAAAATCTTCATGATTTTTAATAGAGAGCATTAGATATTTCCTTAAGACGGCACGGTTTTGGTATGTAAAACATGTACGCTTGATGGAATATACCAATGGATGGATAGATTGATATGCTATCGTCAACGTCGTCGTCGTCGTTTTATGCAGAAAAGAACAGAAATAGAAACACTACTGGATGGATAGATTGTTATGCTGTCGCCGTCGTCGTCCTAGAATTCAAATTTAGTTGGATGAGAATGATTATAATGAAGAGAAACTTCATTTACCAATGCTTATTAACCATTTTTATATATATATATATATATATATATATAGACAGATATCTATGGGCGCTCCTCAATCGTTTGATGGGTTATGGCTCCAGTTTTGATGGGTCCCACGTGTCCAAGAAAAGGATACGCTCGGGTGATTTGAGAGTAACCAATCAATTAATCATATGTTTTTTTATCAACCAATATTAAATTAAATTAAAAATTAAAAAACACTTTAAAAAATTGTTGAATCCACGTAGCTCTCCTCAGAGCACTATACTCAACGTTTTTTCCCACAAAGATCCAAGATTTAAACAACAATTGACCAGGAGCGCATTATTTTTTTTTATTAAGGTTAGATTGATGTTTATATATATTTGATTAAAATTATAATTAAAATTAAAAATAAATAAAAAATAATTTAAAATATTTGATTAAAAATATTTTTAAATTAAAGTTATAAAATAATTAAAAAATATATATTATAATATTAATAATTTTTAATTTAAATATTGTAGATTTAATTAATATTATTATATCTTGAAATAAATAATACTTTATATAAAATATTTTTTATTATTTGATTAAACTATCTACAATTCTATTATATATAAAATTCATCTGATAAAAACTATAATTTTTATAATTTTTTGAACATATAATAAAATTAGATAAATTAACATTAAGAATAAAATTAAAATTGTTATCATGCGTTCTTCTTATAATTAATGTAGTGTTATTAAATAATATTAAATATTATTTTATTAAATAAAACATAATTAAAAATAAAACAATTTATTTATTTTTTAGGTTGGATTCAGTTTTATATATTTAAATTTAAACCGAATCCAATCCAATCATGAATAGTAGAGACTATTCACATAAAATTCAAATTTCACTAAACATTATTTATATTTATAAAGTAAACAGTGTAGATCATGAACAATAGAGACCATTCATAAGAAATTCAGATTTCACTTTACATTTTTCATATTTATAAAGTAAACAGTGTAGAATAAATTATAATTCATTCTGCACTGTTTACTTTACAAAAATAAATATTATATTTCACTTTATACTAATTTACCCTGTACTTCCTGATATTTTAATTGTAGCACAATAGTTAGGAAGCAGCTTGAGTAATTTTTACTTGCGTTTTCAACTAACATTCTGCACTGTTTACTTTACAAAAATAAATATTATAATTCACTTTATACTATTCACTTTAAAAAATAAATAATATAAAGTGAAATTTACCCTGTACTTCCTGATATTTTAATTGTAGCACAATAGTTAGGAAGCAGCTTGAGTAATTTTTACTTGCGTTTTCAACAAAAAAAAACAGGTATTTATATGTTATCAAACATGTATTTTTCATGATTTGCTTCAAATATAGAAGCAATCACGGTAACAAACAAACTCTTAGAATGGGAGGAGAGCAGATGCAGCTATCAGTCACTATTCTTTTCGAAAATCCAGCTTCATGTGAGAAAGAATCAAATTTTGAGATATCTGCATCCTATCCAGCCTGATCTCTCTTTTTCTTCCATCCTTATCGACTATCTTTTTAGCAAATAGGGTGATATTGAATGGTTCAAGAATCAAATTTCAAAATCCCTATTTATTTTAACAAATCATATTGAATACTGGGATAAACTAGATGTTGCAAAATCTTGCTTAAAAGGAGGAGTAACCGAAGCTCAAGATTATATGACGCTAATTTTTGTATGGAAATTCAAGAAAGTGGCGGTTCCCTAACAGGATCATCGTGTTTTTTTATATATATCTGTGGCAAGTCCTGACAGGGTCTTCGTTAAACCAGCATGAAAAACATATTTATCCGATGAAGTAGCACGCCAAGCACTAAAATCCCAAGATTTTACTTGATATTCAGAGGCCATGGTATAGTATAATACAGTTTTTGCACTTCAGTTCAAAGGATCTGCACAGAACTAGTTTTTTTCGCCAAGGCCACTTACAAATGGGGAAGCATCAAGAATCAAATTTCACTATAGGGAGAAGGAACCACAAAGGTTCATTGCATAAAACCAAAGGAAACAAGATATCAAAGTTATGCAGCGACAACAAGAAAAGAAGGATTCCCCATTCCAACAATTAACTCCGCCATAAATTCTTAGAAATGAAATGTATGACTTGGAAGCCACAAGAATGTGCATAACACAGCAAGGAGAATCATTCCCCGAGCACTAATACATTAATGCCTAAAAATTAAAGAAATGCTATGCAACATGTGATTTCACTACTCAACCACAGCATCGTATTGTACCCACTTCCCAGCAACTGTTTTCCCAACTGGCCACAACGTTAAACCATGACCCAAAATCCAGGCAAACAATAAGCTAGCAAAAGGCAAAAGCAGGGTAGGAGAATCTCGTAGAAGAGATCAAGAGTAGTCACAACAAAGACCAACACAAAAGCAAGCTCAAGCTCGACATAATGGCAATTATCTATTACAGTAATCAAAATCCAGCACCAAACTGCGGATTCAAAAACCAGCAACAAAAGGAAATCTCCAAGATGAACAAATAAGAAGAAATGAGATCAAATCAAAACAGATGTACTCAAAGTCAAATCTAATTTCACTATGTAACAGTTAAAAATACTAGAGAGAGAGAGAGAGAGAGAGAGATGATTATCTCACGCAAAAGATATGCAAGGCTGATTTCTGTCGTATAAGAAAAGCTAATCTGATGTTGTAAAATTAGTTGGTGACGAAAGAAGCAGACTGGTAAGAATTTCATTATGTTATGCAGCTTATAATGATGATATCTTTTTTCTTTTGAACTCCAAGCTATTTGCTGTTCTGTGTTTCTGTTTGCTTGGATCAAAACACTAGGAACACTGAAATATCCTAGGAGTAGGTGGATATACGCTTAAAAGCAACAATTAGTCTAATGAAATGGAATAAGTTTTTGTTGAAGTATGAATGTAGTGTTTTATTACCACTACATTGAGGTAATTATACTCAAGAACTTATGAAATGGGGTTAAAAGATTTTAATGTTACGCGAATTTGATCGAGTTAAGAAAATATTCATGAGCAACCATTTCATATACTGGGAAATAAAAATTTAGCTGTCCACTAAGTTCATTTCGATTATGAATAATTAAATCCATTCGGAAAAGAATTGATTTCTTCCTAATGATGTCGAAGTCTGGCCAACAAATTCATCAAGCACCAACCTTTCATGTGGTATCCACAGACAATTCAAAGGAAAGTAATTGAGCTCTGACCTCTTAAAAGCACCAGCCTTTCATTTCTAACCGATCAAAGTAGTCGCATTTGAATTACAATCAAGAATCCAACCACCAAAATCAGATTTCGTATTCAAAACAGAGCATATATCATGAAGAGAATTATCGACCGAACAAGCATGCTGCCATTCAAAATCAAATACATGGATTTGAAAGTTGATACCATTCGTTTATTTATAAAAGCAAAAATCTAATAACGTACATACAAAAAGAAAAAAGAAGAGGGGATCGAAATTTAACAAGAACTTACAATTAGATAGAGAAAAAGAAAATGCTACCAAACCCTCAATTCATCTCTCCAAACAAAGTCCCACAATGGCCTATCTTTTACGCCCTGATCCAATCCAACTCGTGTCCTGCAAATAGGACATGCGGAAACCTTAACAAGCCACGCATCCACACATTTCCTATGAAACACATGACCACATCCAACAAGGTTTCTACACCACTGCCCGTGCTTTATCTCTTCAAGACAAACCACACATGAACTTTGATCAGCACCCGTTTCGGGTCTCGTCTTGGTCGAAAATCTGAATCTTGGGAGCTTCTTTAAGTCTTTGAGAGGCAACGCCTTAGGGGAATTGGAGGATGTAGTCGAGTGGCGGTGGAGTGCAGAGGTGGCAACGAGGAGGAGGATGGCGGCAACACCAAGGAACAGGAAAAAAAAGATGGTTATTGCAGTCATTATTATGGCTTTCAGGATTAGAGAAAGAAACTCTTGGTTTGGTTTTGGTGGTGCTCCACCGTGCGTACGGTGGTGATCATGGTGGTGGTGAGGAGGAGGCATGGTTACAGATGGAAGTGAATGAATGGAAAGGAGAAGGTTTTTGGTAACTACAAAAGTTGGGTCTAATAGATGAGCATCAGAAAAGAAGAAAAGAGAAGTGCGGTTTTCCCGACTCCACTTTCAGTTTTCTTTCTTTCTATGGGCAGAAAAAGGAGGCTTTGAATACTGAGAAAATATTATTCAGATATTTTTAAATATTTTAAAAAATAATATTTAACACGATAATAAATGAAAACTAATAATAATTAGGCAGCTAATTGTCATGGTGATGATTTCGTAATGCTTACATGTTGTTTAATGCGTTGGATATCTGACTATTTTCACACAAGACCCATGTTTAGTATAGTTTATTTATGAGAAAGCAGTTTTTTTTTTAAAAAATGGTTTTCATAAAAAATAAATTTATAAAAAATAAATTATTTTTTTATATTTAGTAATGTCATAAAAAATAAATTATTTTTGGCTATGTTATAAAAATAATTTATTAATATTTTTTAAGTTTATTAAAAGAATCTCATCAAATATAATTGATAAAGAAATTAAAAAATGATGAAATTAAAAAAATTATTTTATAAATTATTTTAAATAAAACAAATAATAATCAAAAGAATCGGACCAAATATGACAAATAAAAAATTAAAAAATAGTAAAACTAAAAAAATTAATTTTATAAATTATTTGAAATAAAATAAATAACAATAAAAAATAAAAATCAAATTTAATAAATACAAAAAAATTTAATTAATAAAAGAATAGAAAAAAAATAAATAACAATAAAAAAAATAAAAATTAAATTAAATTCTAAAAAATAAAATTAAAAAACAATAAATTCAAAATAAAGTTTGGAAAGTAAATCTTAACAAATCATTTTACATAAAACAAACTCGGCATTAGTTTCTTTTGTATTGGATGATAAGGTAGCCTTTAAGATTTGCTTGATAGAAGAATGAAGTATTGTTCAAATTGTATTTTATTTTAATTATAGTTTTAAAAATATAAATGCCACAGTTTTGTATAGTTTTTTTTTTTGAAAACTTATATATGAAATCCTATAATTTATATTTTTAAAATTTATATTTTAAAATTATAATCATAAAAACTATGATAATACTATATATATTTTCAATTAAAAAAAACTTAAAAAAAAGATTATATATTATATTACTAAATAGAATATTTAATGGGATTACTTGAAAATATAGTTGTAATTATTTTTTAAATTATTTTTTTGTGTTGACATGTATTAGATAATAAGTTTTTTGTTTAACAAAAAAATCAAAAATAAATAATATATAATAATAATAATAATAGAAGTATAGGAAATCAAATCAACAATAACTTTACCCCTTTCTGTTCTTGCCGATTGTAGCAATTCATTTTTTTTTCTTTCAAATCCTTACTTTGAAGATATTAAATAGAGATTTCAAACTAATTTCAACGAGAGAAAACTTCCCAACCAAGGTGTAGAATTCGGAATTAACGAAGAGAAATACATTATTAAAATGTTTTTATAAAGACTCTGATTTTATAACAATTGTTTTCTTTCATCTTATATATATTAAATTATTAACCCGTTAAATAATATAAAGGCGTTCATTATATAACTATGTATTGAATTGTCACTACGTCAGAGATTTTACTTCATAAATACACATAAATATATTATTAAAAATCAAGGTCAATGTCAAATTATGCTACTTATATGAAGACTCCTAATTAAATAAATTTATGCATCATAAAAGTAAAATTGTAACTCTCAAAAGAACATGGACCAAAGTGTAATGTTATTGAAAATGTAGGGGCTACAGCTCCCCTGTCCTTTCACGTATTTGCCATTGTATATACTTCTATGTGCGCTGCTCAATCGTTTCATGGACTGTTGCTCCGGTTTTGATGGGTCCCACGTGTCCAAGGAAAAGGACCGATTAGTCAATGCCTGGGTGATATGGGATTAACCAATCAATTAATCACACGCGGGTGTATAATTTTTTTTTTATATAATTTTTTTAATGTGAAGAATGCTAGTTTAGTCTTTTAGTGCAGAGTTATTTCTTTGAATTGATAATTTGAATAATATAATTAAAAAATATATAATAATAAAAAATAATATGAACAAAACATGACAACTAAAAAAAGAATAATATGAACAAAACATGACAACTAAAATTTTTTTTTAAAAAACTCAATTTAAGTTTATTAAATTATCAAATAATTTAATATTAAAGGGTGAAAGAAACTAAAAATAAATCCTAATTAAAATGAGTGAACTAGCAAACTTAATAACTATAAACATAAGATTAAGATAATTTCATAAAAAAAATAATATTTTTTTTAAGATCAGTTCGTAATAAATCAAATGAGAACATGATAAGTCTATAGAAAAAAATAAAAAAAAATTAAAGTTTAATCTCTAGCAAATAAAATATTAAAAGATGAAATTAAAAATATATATATAATTAAAAGAAGGAAAAAAAATCAATTTGAGCCCACCTAGGTTAGGATGTAAAATATTTGACTTAGTCGTGATACCAATGTGACCGCGTTTGAAAGCAAATTGAATAAAATCATGAAGCTTAATAATCGAACAATTTAATGTTGAAGGACAAAAAAAACTTAATTAAAAAAAAACAATGAAAAAAATATATGAGTTAATTTGGGTTAACTCATAAATCTCGCGACCGTGGACATGTGATCGGGATAACCAATAGAAAGGAAATGAAAAAAAAAACATAGAAAAATTTCTAATAAATCAAATGTTAGAAGATGAAATTGAAATAAATCAATTTTAAAAAAAGATTAAAAAAAGTCAATTCACAAAACTGGTGACTCTAGTTATGAACCTGAGGCTAATCCCACAGTAATGAAAAAAATTAGAATCAACTTGGGTTAACATGCAAAATCCGTGACCATGTATACAAGATTGGGTAACTCAATAAAAAAGAAAAGAAAAAAGAGGTAGAAATACCAATTTCAAATAAATTAAATATTGAAAGAACAAATTGAAATAAATCAAATTAAAAAAAACACGAAAATCAACCCACATTAACCTTTGAAAATGGTAACATGGTTGTTAAAAATGTGTTTTGACTAGTAAAATTGTATAATTTTACGAGTCAAAATATATAAAACATGTAAAATCAAGATTAAAAATTAAAAACCAATAAAATTAATTAAACCCGATCAAATTCGCATAAAATCAGATCAACTTGTAGAAAACATTAAACACGTATCTTTTTCACGATTTCATATGAAATTTAAAACCATGAATGTTGTCGTGTTGGCGCTGACACAACACTCCCTTTTTTCCAGTCCCTACCTCACCCGTGACCGATACTCCAGTGACTCCACCTTTTGTTCCTAACTTCCTTTCCCTTTCCCTAGCAGATTAAGAAATCACTTTTCCAAGATTAAAATTAAGAAAATGGTTGATTCGATTTCACTTTCTATTAACCAGCAGCGCTGTCTCTAGTTCTTCACTTTTCACTTTTCACTTTCCACTCTCTCAGCTGGTTTTGCTTGCTATTGAGACCTAGAGCATCTTGGTAAGATGAAGGTAGAATTTATTCTAAAGTTTTGTTTTTTCTATCTTGTCTGGTACGTGAATAATAATGGTGATTAGAAGAAAAAAGAAAGAATTTTCGAGGTATTCTGTGTTTATTTTTTATTATTAATTGGTTTACTTCTATTATATTAAATTAATGATGCAAAGAACAACAAAATAGATTTTTTAATGTTTCTTGTAACTTCTAATTTTCTCAAAGTGGAAGTGGTGCTGCTAGTCCTTCTATGTTGGAATATACTTGTAAAGGTTATGTGCTTATGAATGTCCTTATTTTATTCAGTCTTTTACCTTCTCTCTCTTTTTTTTTTCTTTTTTAATGTAGGGATGTACATCTCTATCTTTTACCTTCTCTCTCTTTTTTTTTTTTCCTTTTTTAATGTAGGGATGTACATCTCTGAAGTATATCAAGTTTCTCATTTCTCAGTGGTTATGCTATGACTGTTTCACATTTTAACCATCAATTGAAGTTGTCTAACGATGTTGTCCTTTTATGTGTTGTGAACTTGAGTTTCCATTTACTTGTTTGTTACCTTTCAATTTTCAATTTAAGAAATTTACATCACTGAAATGTATCTGGATCCTTAACTGTATGCTCTGTTTGATCTTGCTTACTGGTTTTAGTGTTGCAGAGTCTGCATGACAACGAAGCATTCCAGCACTCTTGTCAAAGTCACTTTCCATTATTTTAACTAAGCTTTTTAATTATATAAATTTCATGTTTTTAAGAATAGCTATGTTTAATTTTTTTTTGCCATCTTTTTTCTTGTTCGTGTAGAGTTAATAGTTTCTAGTTTGTGGATAGCAAGAAATGGGATCAAGATCCCATATCTCTGACTGCCCACCAAGTGCGTACCCACTAGAACTTGAAAGAAAAGAAAAGCTTCTTCTACTATCATAAAATATAATTACATAGTTTTATATATGTATGATGCAATCTAATTGCAAAAAGGAACCAACCTGGTCACAGGACTTGAAAACGAAACACAAGAAGATGGAAAGGTCACTCACAAGAAAATGAGTGAAAAGAGTTGTACTGTAACCTAGTTTCCTGGAAAATTTTACATGCCTATTTAGGCTAGTCAATTGTTAACTGTTGGGAAATTCTGACCGGTGATATACTGATATTTGCTCATAGGAGGCCAAGCACACTGAGACACGGTATTTTACGTGGTTCGGCAAACCGCCTACATCCACGGGAGAAGCC